AAAAAAAAATAAAAAAAAAAAAAAAATTAAATGGACCTCTCAGGCAAAATGCTAGCCAGGGCTAACTTTCCCGTTGTCCATTTCCTTTCTGCTGTCTTCTTCCTATCTCTCCCTTCTCCTCTCCTGTCCTCCTGTGTTCTCCCCTTCCTTCCCTCAATGTCTCTCATCCTCTCCTCATCATCCTCCCCTCTCCTACACTGTCCTTTCCTATTTCCTGCTGCTACTTCTCTTCATAACTGCTGGTATTTGCCCAGGGGAAAAATATAATATAGTAATTTTGTGCATTTTCATAGTAAGCATAATGAACTTTACTTTGGTTCTTCTATATTTTCTGTTCTTTTTCCTTTTATATTTTTGGTGCATTAATTCTACTTTTCTCAATAGTAATTACACAGGAATTCCTCTGCATCATTTAAGTATCTGAATTGTACTCCTAGTAACCAAACTTATTTCAGAGCATATTCAGAAAATAGAACCCTTCAAATGTTGCATCTCCAAATCTAGGCAAACATCTCATAAGTTAAAAGCTCTGTTTTACTATTTTTCTTATTTCATTAAATGGAAGTTATTGCTTTCTTTCTATTAACCCTAACTTGCTTATTCAGGTGCTGACTTTTCAGAGACATTAACTAGACTTTTAAAGCTGAATGGCTGCACTCATCTTACTTTTTCCTGTTTTTACAAGGTATCATAAGATATCATTCCGCATGATCAGCATGAGTACCCACTAGTGTTCCTCTTAACAGAAGCTGAAAGCAGAATCTTAAGGACCAGTTTTTCAACAATATACATCAATTCCCTTAGTAATATCATTATATCTTAAGTCTTCTTTACAGAAAAATTTTTCAATGCTATGAAAATGTTAGCATTTCTTTACCTTTTCAGCTTAAAGATTCTACTGTCATCTGCCTGTTGTACTCTACTTTAATTGTTCTCTTTGTAGTCTGTAAAGATGTGTGTTTGCCAAGATGCCTTCTGATAGAAGAGTTGAATGGACAACTCTTGCAGAGGATGTAGAATCATTTCCCAGCATCCACATGGCAGCTTACAACCATCTGTAGTTCCAGTTCCAGAAGTTCTGACATCTTCTTCTAGCCTCTGTGAGTAGGACTCATAAAAGGAAAATACATACATGCAGACAAAACACTAATGCATGTAAAAATATTTTTTTAAAAACTCAAGTATAAATATAAAGAAAAGACAAATGACTTTACAATTTAGTTATTAACCAGAAATACAGCCATATGTAGAATTGAACAAGAGAAAAACATAAATTTTTTTAAATATAGATATTTTAGGTGAATAATTTAGTGTTTTTATTATCTTTGATGTTTCCACATTATAAATATGATTGTCTATGGCACATTCTACAGGATAGGAATGCAACTAAGTTATTGTAGATATTAGAGAAACGAGAATTTTGACAATTACTCTATAACTTTTAGAATATAAAATAATAATGTAATAGATATTTTATAAACAGGTGTTTAAAAAACATGTATAACTTTAGTTAGTGAACTGTTATATGAATAAAATTAAAACAAGGTACAGAAATAGGTGGTGATAATAGAAGATGCTTAATAAAAGAGCATGCATGGCATACACAATATTTAACTAAAGCAAAGGGGAAGGAAATGTAGTAAAAAAGGTTTAATAAGGAGTTGAACTAGAGATCAAAATCCTTGGTGTGAAGAAATGATTGGTATATATTACAGATTCTTCCATAGGAATAATGCACCTGCACAGCAGTGAGCACGGAGGTATCCCCAGGAATTCGTTCACATGGAGCTTATAGGCACAATAATAAGCCTTTCAATTTATAGGGAAATTATTCTATAAACTAGTTCAGGGCATATGTTCACAAATATTTTTTGAAGAATTCTCCTTAGCTGATGCATGGAAAATTCCCAGTAGATTTTCTAGGGCAAAGGCAATGTGCTCACTGAGAAGGATCTGCTACATTGGATCAGAATGTATATAACAGAATATACCTGAGTGGTTGATACATTCACTTTCCATGTGTAGACTTGAAATACACTCTATTAGGGAGCATCTTTTGCAACAATTTATAGATTTAGTGTGTGACAATAAATACTATACAATTATATAGTAACTCTGATATAAATTTATATTAAAATGTTCTGAATCACTCTGCATTTTTTTTTTGCCCACTAAATCAGGAAATGAAACTTGAAGGAATGTAGAATGTAGGTGAGAAAAAGCCCATTTAAACATGGGCTTACACAAAGTAAATTTGAGTCATCTGATGGATATTTAACAGCAATTGTCAAGGAGGCAGTTGGATACCTGAGACTAGAATTAAGAAAACAGTTTGAGGTCATATACAAAATGTGGAAAGAAGATTATATATAGTTGTTTAAAATCATTGGAACAGTAACATTATTCAGAAATTATTTAGATATATGCTATGCACATGCATATCTATCTATATCCATGCCATTTGAAAAAAAATTTAAAGTATAGTAAAGTGATTTCAGAAGAAAGAAGAATCTATCTTGATGAATAAAGCCATATCCAGATCAGGATACAGGGAAATCATTACTTAAACTGCTTTTTAGTCTTTTGTATGCTTTCAGAGAAAGAAGAAGAATGAATAATTAAAAATGAAGATATGAATTAGCACATGCAGAAGCTCCACAGTGCTGTACATGTTCTATGATGACATCTGGAGACTCTCCAGCAACTGAGAAGCTTATCTGGTTTAAAGAAGAAAAGGACTCAGAAAAGCTGCATGTTGCAGTGTTAGGTGAGAGACTGGACAATTTTGGCTCTCAAATATGTGACTTGTTGCAAGTGAATGCATTAGCTAGAACCAGAGCCATACAGTTCCTTTCTATGTTTATGGTATCTTTTTGAAATCAGTGTCTTAGATTACCTTTTTGCCATGCCACAATGGTCACCACCACTACCACAAAAAAAAATTAACTAAAAAGAAAAGGAAAATTGAAACTCCCTTTGATGTCCTACAAGGCAAAAAAACAGTTTATCTTTATCTTGTAGAAACAGATAAGACACAAACTTTCACAGAGAACAATATGTCACTGGACATTTGAGGTCGTGAACTGGAGAGGAAAGTATTGTATTCTGAATTGACAATATTTTTATAAATTTATAAACAAGTGCTCATAATATTTGTTATGTTTAGTGCCTATAATATTCTTCATATGCACATACAAATACAGCTTCTAACTCCTGAAATAAGATAATTTCTAAAAGAAACCATCTACAAATACAACACACATAAAATAATAGATGTATAATTAAAATATCTAAAATTACTGGAAATAGATTATTCTTTTTTAACATATAATCTTTTTTGATGAATTTATAGACAGTCATTAGTTTTTAAGCTGGAAAGTAAGATTTACATTTTCATTTCTTTTGTTAATTTGAATTCTAAAGATTAAGAATGACTTAAAAGAAGAAACAGGTAGATGGAATTACTAATCACCTTCATGATGAAAAAGATATTTTAAGTTTCCAGGAATTAATACTAAGACAATTTGTGTATTTGAAATAAATTTACATAAAATAATATAACAAATCCCTCTGCAGCACTTGTTCTAACAACAGATTGATCAAGTTATAACCGAGCCACTGAGTAAAGTACATTTATGGCAGAATAAATTGAGCATTTTAATTGCCTATAGCTAATTTGTTTTAATGAGTCAAACCAATATTTTAATTAAACAACCTTAAGTAACATGATAAAACTGAACTCAATAAAAGTTAATTACAAAAATAATGTGATAAAATTAAAGTGTCTGTATTAAATTAGAAAATGTCCAGAAGAGATATATGGCTTTATAGTTACAAAGAAAATTTGATGTTGTTAATGGCATTATGGTACTTTCAAAACCAGAAGACATTAAAGACAAAATAAAATCTTACAAGTACAAAATGAGCAAAAAGAATCTAAGATTCTCCATAAATCCCAATAAGACGTCAAAGATTCACATGTGAAAGTATAAGAGAGTTGTACAAATTTGATATAAAAAACTGCAAATCTTTGGTGGTTTTCCTTAGTTTATTTGTAATGAGTCCCAAGAGACATGACATTCTAGTGCATAGCAGTGATATTTGAACAAAAAAATGTAGAATTAGAAAATAAATGTTTCAAACTCTCCTTGAGTACCAAATAAAATGTGCAGTAATAATTGTTAATTATATATGCACATATATATATACATACACACACATATATATATATATATATAATCTATTGTGCCTTTTTATAAGTTTTAACTGACAATAAATACATTTCAATATTGTTCTCAAAACTTTCAGTCATTGCTTGAAGGTGTCTTTATTTTTATTTTTATTTTTACAATTCTACATTTGTGAATTAGAATGTTCTACATTATTTTATCCCTATTACACTATCATGCCCCCTCCATCTCCTGCTGAAAATATTCTTTTTTCCAAGTTTGTCCCTATTTGTTGTAACTCACAGTTACAATTATGATTGCTTCCATAGGATGGGTGGGAATTATTTACTTAAATTTGGTCAACTTAGCAGCAGCTGTATCATTGAAGACAACGACACCCTCTCCATCTCTGACTAATTATTCATCTTCTCTCAGTGGTTGTTGAAATATCATGAGCTCTGCCAGGTTCACTGTGTGCTGGTCTTCTTCAGGGTAACTGCAGGTGGAATAAATTCCTCAACTTGCCTTTTTGCAAATACTCCTGCTCCCCATTCTCCAACAATTGGTTCTTTCTTGTCTCTGTTTCTCAGTGTTTCCCATTCTTTGGGAGTGATACACATGCCCTTTTTAATCTGAAACATTCCATGGCCATTTATTTTCTGTGCTCTGATCAGTTTGATTCTCTAAATTAACCACAAAGCGCGTCACAAATAAGATTTTCTGATGGACAGTGAGAGTATTACTATTTTATTAGGTATAAACATAACTTTCAAGAATAAAATTTAATGTCATACCCACTTTGTAAAATAACATCATTAGTTGATCCTCTTGGGGATATGGCCTCTGTAGCCAAGGACTCTTCACCAGATTTAAGTGTGCTCTGCAAGAAGAAACTCATATCTGCTCAAAAATTATTGAGCTCCTATAATTTGGTGAAGGTCAGCCAATCAAATAAGCTATCTATAAAATGAGCTAATAAAATTTGAGCAAAATGCCAATAAAATAGTTTAAGATTAATCATAGCTGTGTATATAATGTCATAACATCTTAAATATATATTGAGTTGATTAAAATGTAAATATGGTTCCTATTATTCTTCAGTGTCATTTGATAATTGAATAATATCTTTAAATATGACTATATTATATGTAATTAATTTAATATACATTTCCTCCTTTGTGATTTTATTAAACAATTATAACTTGTTTATTTTATAAATGTTTTATACTGTGGGAATTATTAGACAAAAAGTAAATTTAAAGAATATTTTTGAGATAAATGAGTCATAAGAAAGCAGAAGGAACATGCAGCATCAGCATATTTGGGAGGAGCTGAATAGATGGCTCACCAATTAACAGATCTTGCTGCTCTTGTAGAGGACACCAGTCTGGTGTACATCAGCCATCAATGGTGGTTTATAAGTGTTGTAACTCCACAGTCCAAGAGCTCCAACACCCTCTTTCTGGCAAGCATGGACAATGCAAACAGGCAAGTCCATATACATACAGATACACAAACACACAAATAAACAACAAATGAATAAATAAATGACACACGGTAATATACACCTTTAAAAATGCTAACACATTTGCGCCAGGAACTAAGAAATATAAAGTATTTATTCAAGCGTTTTTGCAATGGAAACAGAAGCCTTGAAGATGAGAAAAGTAGTAGCCAGTCACCAGACTCTAACAAGGACCAGGTGAAATGAACCATCAATGCTGATCCTCCTAGTACTGGAAGCTTCATTTGGTGACAAGAGATGGGCAGTTAGGACTCTCTCTCCCCCATTATTTGACAATTTCTCTTATCTATGTATATATTTTAAGAAGCCTCTACAGTATTAGTTAGGTTTTGCATACTGCTCTTCTAATGCCCCTTCACGTTAGATGTCTCTCCCTTTATTGCCTCCTTCAATCCCTTCTTCTCATAATGCTGCCAAAAGAAAGAGGTAAACACAAAGCCAGTCACAAATCCAGTATTTACAATGGTGTCCTGCCTGCAAGATATACTCGGGCAATGGTGGCACAAAGCTTGTGGGAGTAACCAATCAATATCTGATTTGACTTAGGCCCACTCCACATTTGTAACCCATACCTGACCCAGCTTGAGTGACCAAGAACCTGAGACTAGATAGCCCAGGGACCTAGGGTACAACCAAATACTACTGCTCTTAAAAAATGGTGATAAAACGACTAAACTCTCAATAACATTGTGCTAGCTCGTAGATCAGTGCTTTCCTCACCCACTTATTGGAGAAGCTTCCTTCTGTAGCCTAAGGAAACAATTAGAGGTTCCCAAAGCAGGGCATTAAACAGGGTGGAGACTCAACCCTAAGTGGTATGTCTCTATCAAACCCTGCCCCTCTGAGCTAAGGGAACCACCGAGAAGGGGCAGAATGAATGTAAGATCCAGAAGGGATTTAAGACACCAAGAAAACAAGGCCTCTAAATCAACAGGATCAAAGCTCTTCAGGAACTCACAGAGACTGAGGCAACACACACTGGACCCACAGAGGTCTGTACCAGGTCCTGTGCAAGTATATCATGACTTACAGTTTAATCTTTTATTAAATTCCTGAGTGTACAAAAGAATGGCTCTCTAATGGGCTCTTTCTGTCTGCTTTTCCAACTCCAACTTGATAGTTTTTGTTTCATCTTATTGTATTTTATTTTGATAAATTGTCTTATTATCTCTTAGAAGCATGCTCTTTTCTTTTTTTTTTCTTTTTCTTTACTAAGAAATTCTCCACTCACTCCCCACGCCATCCACAGACTGCCCCTACTCCTTCCTCCTACCTCCTAGCCCTCCCTCCCAAGCCACCCCGCATAGCATCCCCCACATCCCAAATCAAGGTCTCCCATGAGGAGTCAGCAGAGCCCAGCTCACTGAGCCCAGGCAGGTCCAATCCCCCTCCCCCTGCACCAAGGCTGTGCAAGGTGTCCCGCCACAGGCACCGGATTCCCAGAAGCCTGCCCTGAAGCATGCTCTTTTCTAAAGAGAGACAGAAAGGGAGTGAATCCAGATGGCAGGTGGGGGAGATACTGGGAGGAATAGAGAGATGAAAATCTGTAATCAGGTTATAATATGTGAGAAAAGGATCTATTTTAAATAAAAAGGCTGGGGATGGTTAAAGATGTCATAGGCAAATCCAAACCACCACCACCCCCCAAAAAAAACACCCAAAAGCTGACCCTCTTAGAAGTTGAAAGAATTAATGTGGACCACTCAGGGGTTATTCAGGATTTGAAGAAAATTTAGAAGGAAAAAAAATTAGGTGCTTTAGGGGCTGACCAAACCCCAAGGTGTTGATTTGAAATGTTCTCTTCTGGGCAACAGCAAACCATTTCTCGACTGTCTTGAGACATGGAATGGAAAGTGGGTTACAAATGGTGATGGCCACTCAGTGGCTAAGCTGAGAAGATGATCAGCAGCTCTGCCCAAAGGCAAATATTCACCAAAGAGAGGACAAAGTCACTGCCAGGAGGCTGATGTGTCCAATGCAGCAGAGCTTTTATGAATATCATGAAACAATTACATCTGATAAGCATGATAAGAAAATGTACAGAATACATGGACAATGACAATTCTTGCAGCAGCATTGGTCAACAGAAACACACAATTCTTCTTCAGGAAGGGCTCTCTAACAGGCCAAAGTATTGTGGAGAGGTTTTATCCTTTCCTCTGCTAAACCTTTAGATTACATTCCTCAAGCTAGTCCCCGAGGTCTATTCCCTTATTTGGCCACTCACTCATTCCTGAAACTAAACTCCAAGTCCCAGAGATAAAAGTTCATTATGTGACTAGGCTGGCTAACCTATTCAATCAGGACTTACCCACTCTAGCACAAACTTGCTCTTTTCTCCTTAAAAACCCAGTCCTGAAAAAAACAAAAATAAACAAACAAACACTTCCTGCTTGCTGTCTGCCTTTGCCTGATCCAGAGGCAATCCCCCACCTGATTATCCTTCTGGGGTAATAAATCTCCTTTGTGCTGAGATCTTGGTGTGTGGGTGTGTTCTGTATGAACTTAGAGGGACTCAGAGGGACCCTCCAGTATACAAAGAGCACACAAATTCTGCTGTGAGGTTTTGCATTATCTACTGTATTTGCCTCATTTCTTGCCAAACAGCTAGACTGTTCCAAACATTTCAATACCTCCTTCCTCCACCTGAGAAAAGTTGTCGACAACTAGAAGGATACATAAAATGCTTTTCAAGATTTCATTGACTCCTGTAGCTCAGACTTTTATGCTATAATAAAAATAAACTTATTTCTCATCAGCAAAAATGTGTTTATATTAATGCTTTCTATATTGATTAGTAAAGATATGCTTGAGCTTAGTAATACTGATTTGATCTTCAAAGTCTGAAAATAAAATTTCCTTGGCAACTAAAATATGTGTTTTGCTTTGAGTTTATTTTGAAGACTGAATCAGTAATCTTTGACAGTAACCAGCTTATGGGAAGTAGAAAACATATAAAAAATATTGTTCATTTGTTCCTTCAATTTAAAATGTTTGCTCTTGAGAATCATGCTGACTCTTCTTACAGCATCATCTCACAGATATCTTTGTCTGTAGCATTCAGAACTAACAACATTTCTAAAGAAAATGTCACTGGTTGAGAATAAATAAGAAATATCTCTCTGCTTCCATAGTTCTATTCTACTAGTCATAAAAAATGACATTTGAGTACAATTTGAAACTTTTTCCATACATGTTATCTTTCCGTTGCTGAGAGAGAGTGTGTGACCAAAGGCAATGTAAGGAAGACAGAGAAACTGGTGGATCAGAAGCATGGCAACAGCCACAGGCATGATGACAGGAAAGGAAGGTGAGAGCTCACATCCTGAACCTCAAGTATGAAGCAGAGAGGATATTCTAAGTGGGGTGAGGTCATAAGTTCTCACCTGTTGACATAATTCCTCTAGAAATGTCTAAGCTCCTTAACTTCTCTAAAAAGCACCATCAGCAAAAGACTAAGGATTCAAATGCCCAAGACTATAGGTGTATTTCCCATTCAAAGCACCACAATGTACTGAGTCTACACTGAATAAATGGTAAAACGAACAAACAACTACATCC